ATTTCTCCAAGCAGAGATGTTACACTCTATGTGAGCAGGTGGACAGGGACAAGCCCAGAAAATGCCACAAATAAACATTTCGGAATCTGGGTTGGATCCAAGGAGGAGAGGGAAAGATGAAGGTCAGAAATGAGTCCCAGAAAAACCACCAGCAGCACAAAATAAAAAGACTTCTCAAAGCAGAAATGTTAAGTTTAATGTGAGCAGGTGGACATGGACAAGCCCAGAAAATGCCACAAATAAATATTTTGGAATCTGGATTGGATTCAAGGAGGAGAGGGAAAGATTTTGGTCCCAAGGTCAGAAATGAATCCCAGAAAAACCACCAGCACAAAAAAAAAGACTTCTTAATACAGAAATGTTACACTCCATGTGACAAGGTGGACATGGACAGAAAATGCCACAAAGAAACATTTCGGAATCTGGGTTGAAGGAGGAGAGGGAAAGATGAAGGTCAGAAATGAGTCCCAAAAAACCACCAGCAGCACAAAAACCAGATTTTTCAGTGCAGAAATGTTAAGTTTAACGTGAGCAGGTGGACAGGGACAAGCCCAGAAAATGCCACAAATAAATATTTTGGAATCTGGGTTGGATCCAAGGAGGAGAGGGAAAGATTTTGGTCCCAAGGTCAGAAATGAATCCCAGAAAAACCACCAGCAGCACAAAAAAAAACGATTTCTCCAAGCAGAGCTGTTACATTTGATGTGAGCAGGGGATCTGCACGAGCACAGAAAATGCCACAAAGAAACATTTCAGAATCTGGATTGGATCCAGGGAGGAGAGGGAAAGACCAAGGGCAGAAATGAGTCCCAGAAAAATCACCATTAGCACCAAAAAAAAAGACTTCTCAATGCAGAGATGTTACACTCTATGTGAGCAGGGGATCTGCACGAGCCCAGAAAATGCCACAAATAAATATTTAGGAATCTGGATTTTATCCAAGGAGGAGAGGGAAAGATTTTGGTCCCAAGGTCAGAAATGAATCCCAGAAAAACCACAATTAGCACAAAAACCCCAATTTCTCCAAGCAGAGATGTTACATTTGATGTGAGCAGGGGACCTGTACGAGCCCAGAAAATGCCACAAATAAATATTTAGGAATCTGGATTGGATCCAGGGAGGAGAGGGAAAGATGAAGGGCAGAAATGAGTCCCAAAAAACCACCAGCAGCACAAAAAACCAGATTTCTCCAAGCAGAGCTGTTACACTCCATGTGAGCAGGTGGACAGGGACAAGCCCAGAAAATGCCACAAATAAATATTTGGGAATCTGGATTGGATCCAAGGAGGAGAGAAAAAGATTTTGGTCCCAAGGTCAGAAATGAATCCCAGAAAAACCACCAGCACAAAAAAAAAGACTTCTCAATACAGAGATGTTACACTCCATGTGAGCAGGTGGACATGGACAGAAAATGCCACAAAGAAACATTTCGGAATCTGGGTTGGATCCAAGGAGGAGAGAGAAAGATCAAGGTCAGAAATGAGTCCCAGAAAAATCACCAGCAGCACAAAATAAAAAGACTTCTCAATGCAGAAATGTTAAGTTTAATGTGAGCAGGTGGACATGGACAAGCCCAGAAAATGCCACAAATAAATATTTCGGAATCTGGGTTGGATCCAAGGAGGAGAGGGAAAGATTTTGGTCCCAAGGTCAGAAATGAATCCCAGAAAAACCACCAGCAGCACAAAAACCCCAATTTCTCCAAGCAGAGATGTCACATCTGATGTGAGCAGGGGATCTACACGAGCCCAGAAAATGCCACAAAGAAACATTTTGGAATCTGGATTGGATCCAGGGAGGAGAGGGAAAGACCAAGGGCAGAAATGAGTCCCAGAAAAATCACCATTAGCACCAAAAAAAAAGACTTCTCAATGCAGAAATATTACATTTGATGTGAGCAGGGGACCTGCACGAGCACAGAAAATGCCACAAATAAACATTTAGGAATCTGGATTTTATCCAAGGAGGAGAGGGAAAGATTTTGGTCCCAAGCTCAGAAATGAGTCCCAGAAAAACCCCAATTAGCACAAAAAACCCGATTTGTCCAAGCAGAGATTTTACACTCCATGTGAGCCGGGGACCTGCACGAGCCCAGAGCTCTCGGATGAGCTTCGCAGGCCCCGGCGGAGGAAAAACAATCCGGGAATTGTGCAGGAAGTGTCACAGGGAGCCTCGTGGAGGGGACCCTGGCATGAGATGGGACAGAGCTTTGGGGAGGCAGAGGCTGCTTTTCCCTAAAGGGCTTTTCCCCACTTGGCACGAGGATCTGTTTCCCTCCATACCCGTTTATTCCCGTTCCCGGTGTTCCTGGCAGATCCCAGCTCCACCTGTTTGGCCTTGGAAAGGGAGGAGGATCACTCTGGGTGTTGGGGGGTGTGGGAAGGAGCAGTTTGGGATTTCTGCTTTGCCTTCTTCTCTTGTTTCACTCCTTTACTGGACCATTGAAGGGGAAATCATGGAATTATGGAACAGAAGGGACCTTAAAGCCCATCCAGTTCCAACCCCAACACCTCCCACTGTCCCAGGTTGCTCCAACCCGGCCTTGGACACTCCCAGGGATCCAGGGGCAGCCACAGCTTCTCTGGGAAATCCATTCCAGCCCCTCCCCACCCTCCCAGCCAGCAATTCCTTCCCAATATCCCACCCATCCCTGCCCTCTGGCACTGGGAAGCCATTCCCTGTGTCCTGTCCCTCCAGGCCTTGTCCCCAGTCCCTCTCCAGCTCTCCTGGAGCCCCTTTAGGCCCTGCCAGAGGCTCTCAGCTCTCCCTGGAGCCTTCTCTCCTCCAGGGGAACATTCCCAGCTCTCCCAGCCTGGCTCCAGAGCAGAGGGAATCCAGAATCATGGAATCCCAGGATTATCTGGGTGGGAAGGGACCTTAAATCCCATCCATTCCCACCCCCTGCCATGGGCAGGGACACCTCCCACTCTCCCAGGTTGCTCCAACCTGGCCTTGGACACTCCCAGGGATCCAGGGGCAGCCACAGCTTCTCTGGGAATTCCATTCCAGCCCCTCCCAGCCAGGAATCCCTTCCCAGTATCCCACCCATCCCTGCCCTCTGGCACTGGGAAGCCATTCCCGCCTCAAGCCCCCAAGTTTCCATGGTGGAATCTGAGCTGGAGAAATCCCTCTCCAACCTCCTGGAGAGCTGGAAAAACGGGAGCTGCCTGATTTTGGAATGTTAATCCCATCCCCCTCCACCATCCTTTCTCCTTTCCCTGCCGGAGCAGTGGCTGGATATCCCGGAGAGGAATTCCTGGGAGTTTTCCTGGACGGTTTTCCAGCCTCATGGCGACTTCCAGGCCTCCCATTTGGCCGCTGCCGGCGTCGGGAATTCCAAAATTCCCGGAATCCAGCAGTGCTCCTGCTTCCCAAAGCATAAACCCCGGGATTCCGCGGCTCCGTTCCGGCGGCTCCGTTTGCGGCTCCGCTCGTTCCCTCTTTGCTTTTCCCCGGGAAGGTTCCATCCGGCTCCGGAATTCTGGGATTGAGCAGCGAGGAGTTTTCTTCCTCGCGGGAAATATTGGAAATTCCCAAGAAATCCCACGCTCATTCCCAGATTTTTCTTCCTAAACTGTTTGTGCTCCTCTAAATCCGACGGAATGTTCCCTTCCCGAGGTTTCTACCAATCCATGGAATGATTAGTTTTGTATTTTATAGTAAATTTCGATTTTATATTAGTTTTATATTTTATTATTAATGTATATAATTTTTATTGTTATGTTATTTTATAGTATTTAGTTTATTGTTTTGTATTTTATAATTGATTTTTATTATTTTTATTTATTAATTTATTATCATAATTATAGTTATTATTACTTCTTATAGTTTTTATTATTTTATATTACTTTATATTATTTTGTATTTTATAGTAAATTTATAATTTATATTTTTATGTTTTATTATTAATTTATATAATTTTATCACTATGATATTTTATAGTATTTAGTTTATTGTTTTGTATTTTATAATTGATTTTTATTATTTCTAGTAATTAATTTATTATCATAATTATAGTTATTATTACTTCTTATAGTTTTCGTTATTTTATACTAATTTTATTCTATATTAATTTATATTTCATATATTATTTTTCATTTTTATTAATGTCTATTATTTTATTTAACTTCTTATATTATTTTTATTCTTTTAAATTATTTTATAGTCTATATTATTTTATATTTCATATATTATTTTCCATTTTTATTAATTTCTATTATTTCATTTAACTTCTTATTATATTATTTTTATTCTTTTAAATTATTTTATAGTCTATATTATTTTATATTTCATAGATTATTTCCCATTTTTATTTCATTTAACTTCTTATTATATTATTTTTATTAATAATTTTATTACTTTAATTAATTTATTGGTTTAGATACTAATGTTATTTTTATTACTAAATTTTATTTTTGTTTTAATTATTATTTTAATTATTAATTATTAATTTAATTATTTATTTTATTTAATTATTTAATTAATTTATTTAATTAATAAATATTAATTAATTTAATTTAATTTAATTATTAATTTAATTATTATTTTATATTCTTTTAAATCAGATTTATATTTTTAATTGTTATTATTTTATTTTTATTATATATTTTATATTATATTACATTTATATTTTATATTATTTTATTTATATTTTTATTTTATTTATTATATTTTATTTATTTTATATTATATTTTATATTATATTATTTTTTATTATATATTATATAACTTTGTATAATTATAAGTTTATATATAATATAATAATATATTATATTATAATTTATATTTTTAAATATGTTATGTATTATATATGTTATATATAATATATATAAAAATATTATGTATATTCTAATATATATTATATATATCTATAAGCCTTTTGCTTCCCCCTTCCCAAAATCTGGGCTCCGACATTCCCTGGGCTCTCCCAGGAAGGACCTGCTGGGCTTTGGGACCCTCAGAACTTGGATTGACCCACCTCAATCCTTCCTTTCCCACAGGTACCCCCTGAGGAGAGGCAGCTCCTTCACATTCCTGACTCCAGGCCCACACTGGGATTTCACCCTGGTGAGTGGAACAGCCGGAAAAAAAGCGGGAATGCAGAGGGAAAAGTTCCTGGCTCTGGAAGAGAAGGAAAATCCACCCATTCCTTCCCACCTGAGCCTTCCCAGCTTTCCCAAAGGTGCTTTTTGCCCCCAGGGATTGAGGGCAGGATGGATATCCCGGGGTTTTCCTTTCTCATTCCTGATTTTCTGAGGTGGGAATGCCATGGGCAGGATGGAAAACACCATGTAGGAATAAAGCGAGGGGTTTTTATTCCTAAAAATCCAAAATTCCGGGTTTTCTTTGGTGTGGAGAAGCTCCCTGGTGCTCTTCACATTCCTGACTCCAGGACCACACTGGGATTTCACCCTGGTGAGGAAAACAGCTGGAAAAAAATCGGGAATGCAGAGGGAAAATTTGGAGAAGAAGGAAAATCCACCCATTCCTCCCCACCCAACCAGGCTCTTCCTGAGCCTTCCCAGCTTTCCCAAAGGTGCTTCTTGCCCCCAGGGATTGAGGGCAGGCTGGATATCCCGGGGTTTTCCTTTCTCATTCCTTATTTTCTGAGGTGGGAATGCCATGGGCAGGACGGAAAAGACGGCATAGGAATAAAGTGGGGGGGTTTTGTTCCTAAAAATCCAAAACTCCGGGTTTTCTTTGGTGTGGAGAAGCTCCCTGGTGCTCTCCTCTCTCCATCCTTTACCATCCAGCCTCTGGAGCTGGACCACTGGAATTCTGTTCAGAATTCCTGCTTCTTGGAGTCTGAGCATCCGGGAGGTTTTATTGCTTTCAAAGGATTCCATTGGTTTGAAGGATTCCATTGGTTTCGAAGGATTCCATTGGATTTGAAGGATTCCATTGGATTTGAAGGATTCCATTGGTTTTCAGGATTCCATTGGTTTGAAGGATTCCGTTGGGTTTAGAGGATTTCATTGGGTTTAGAGGATTTCATTGGATGAGAAGGATTCCACTGGTTTTATGGATTCCATTGATTTGAAGGATTCCATTGGTTTTGAGGATTCCATTGATTTGAAGGATTCCATTGGTTTTGAGGATTCCATTGGATTTGAAGGATTCCATTGGGTTTAGAGGATTTCATTGGATGAGAAGGATTCCATTGGGTTTAGAGGATTTCATTGGATGAGAAGGATTCCATTGGTTTGAAGGATTCCATTGTTTTTAAGGATTTAATTGATTTTGAAGGATTCCATTGCTTTGAAGGATTCCATTGATTTTAAAGGATTTAACTGGTTTTGAAGGATTCCATTGGTTTGAAGGATTCCATTGGTTTTGAGAATTCCATTGGATGTGAAGGATTCCATTTGGTTTAAAGGATTTAAATGGTTTTGAAGGATTCCATTGGTTTTGAAGGATTCCATTGGTTTTGAAGGATTCCATTGGTTTGAAGGATTCCATTGGTTTTGAGGATTCCATTGGTTTGAAGGATTCCATTGATTTTAAGGATTCCATTGATTTGAAGGATTCCATTGATTTTAAGGATTCCATTGGTTTGAAGTATTCCATTGGTTTGAAGGATTCCATTGGTTTGAAGAATTCCATTGGTTTTGAGAATTCCATTGGTTTGAAGAATTCCATTGGTTTTGAGAATTCCATTGGTTTGAAGGATTCCATTGGTTTTCAGGATTCCATTGGGTTTATGGATTCCATTGGTTTCGAAGGATTCCACAGGGATGATCCCTAAAAACCAGAATATCCAGGCTTGGGGCAAAAAGCCTTTAGTGGGAGAGAGGAAAACTGGATGATTGGAATTGTTTTCCAATGGAAAACCAGCATGTAGGAATGCTGGATGATTGGAATCGTTTTCCAATGGAAAACCAGTATTTAGGAAAACTGGATGGTTGGAATTATTTTCCAATGGAAAACCAGTATTTCCTTTAGGAAAACTGGATGATTGGAATTGTTTCCCAATGGAAAACCAGTATTTTCCTTAAGAGAGAGGAAAACTGAATGATTGGAATTGTTTTCCAGTTGAACACCACTATTTTCTTTAGGAAAACTGAAGTATTGGAATTGTTTTCCAGTGGAAAACCAGTATGTAGGAATGCTGGATGATTGGAATTGTTTTCCAATGGAAAACTAGTATTTTCTTCAGGAAAACTGCATTATTGGAATTGTTTTCCAGTGGAAAACCAGTATTCTCTTTAGGAGAGACGGAAGATGGATGATTGGAATGGTTTCCAATGGAAAACCAATATTTAGGAAAACTGGATGATTGGAATTGTTTTCCAATGGAAAACCAGTATTTTCTTTAGGAAAACTGAATTATTGGAATTGTTTTCCCATTGAAAACCTGTATTTAGGAAAACTGAATTATTGGAATTGTTTTCCAGTGGAAACCCAGTATTTTCAATGGATGATTGGAATTGTTTTCCAATTGAACACCAGTATTTTCTCTAGGAAAACTGAATTATTGCAATTGTTTTCCAATGGAAACCCAGTATTTTCCTTAAAAGAATTCCTTTCCCTGCGCTTTGATCCGAACCCTCGAAACGCTCCCAGGATTGTTTTGGTCGTTCCTAAAAATAAACCCCCCCAATATTTACCTTTCCCCTCCCCATTTTGGCACCTCTTTTTTTAGGGCTTCTCCCTCCCCCAAACCTAAACCTGCTCTGGGTGTTTTTCCCCCTTCGACAACTTCCCGAAAAATCCCTTTTTTTGGGATTCTGGGAGAGAAGGAGAAAAGGATCAAACCTGCGATGGGGAAACGGCGCCGGGGCTTCCAAACCCCGGCTGGAGAGAGCCTTTTTTCTTGGAATGTGCTGCTGGGAATGACACAGCTGGGAAACGTCCCAAGTTTTTTTTTGGAACAAAATTCTATTGGGCAAAGTTAAAAAAAAGGGATCCCAGGCCAAAAGCCGGGATTTTATTGCACAAAGTCTCGCCGGTTCGAAAACAGAGCTCTGGCTTTGCTCTCGTGCCTCTGGCTTTGGGTGGATGGGAAAGATGTTCCAGAGGGGAAATCTGGGAAATGTCCCCCTCCAGGAGGAGCCAGGAAAGCCAAAAAAAAAAAAAAAGGCCCTGCTGCTGTCTGGGTTTTTACTGTGAGTTTTCTTCTCTTAAATAAATTTAAATATTGTGGGATCGCAGAAGCAGAAAGGTTGGGAATCGTCAAGTCCAACCCTCGCTCCAACCCCGCCGTGGTTCCCAGCCCATGGCACTGATGCCACATCCAGTCTGTCCTGAAACACCTCCAGGGATGGAGAATCCCCCACTTCCCTGGGCAGCCCATTCCAATGGCTGAGCACCCTCTCTGCAAAGAAATTCTTCCTGATCTCCAACCTAAACCTCCCCTGGCACAGCTTGAGACCGAGCCCTCTTGTCTTGCTGATGGTTGCCTGGGAAAAGAGCCCAACCCCCCCCGGCTCCCCCCTCCTGGCAGGGAGTTGCAGAGAGTGAGGAGGTCTCCCCTGAGCCTCCTCCTCTCCAGGCTGAGCCCCCCCAGCTCCCTCAGCCTCTCCTCCCAGCACTTGGGCTCCAGTCCCTTCCCCAGCCTCGCTGCTCTTCTCTGCCCCTGCTCCAGCCCCTCCAGGGCCTTCCTGAGCTCAGGGCCCAGAGCTGGACACAGCACTCCAGGGGTGGCCTTCCCAGCGCCCAGCCCAGGGGCACAAGCCCTGCCCTGCTCCTGCTGCCACACTCTTCCTCAGCCAGCCCAGCAGCCCTTGGCCCTCTTGCCCCCCTGGCCACACTCGGGCTCCTCTTCAGCTCCCTGCCCAGCCCAACTCCCAGCTCCCTTCCTGCCTGGCTGCTCTCCAGCCCCTCTGGCCCAGCCTGCAGCTGCAGGGGGTTGTTCCTGAAGAGCAGGAACGACCAACCTGGTACAAAAGTGCTTTGAGCTGGAGGAGGGCGGGGTCAGGTTGGATAATTAGGGATCGGATAATTAGGAATTGGATTATTAGGAATTAGATCATTAGGAAAGAATACCGTGAAGGTAAAGCTTGCCCAGAGAAGCTGTGGCTGCCCCTGGATCCCTGGAAGTGTCCCAGGCCAGGCTGGAGCAACCTGGGATAGTGGGAGGTGTTGGACATGGAACTGGATGGGCTTTAATGTCCCTTCCCACCCAAACCATTCCAGGATTCCATGATTTTTTGTGCCTAAATGAACTCTAACCACTTCCCACTGGCATCTGCTGCGTTCTGTGCTGCTCCTGAGTTTTCCTGCTTTTGATCCCCCCCCAACCACAATTCCAGGAGCACAGAGGAAGGAACCAACTTCCAGTGTGGAGGAACGGGGTGACGAACCTCCCGGAGCAGCACAAACCCCCTTTGCCTTTGGGTTTAACTTTGATTTTTTGGAGTTATTCCAGCCAGTTTCAGGTGTAAATGAAAGAAACCTCCCTGAACTGCTGGACTAAAGCTCAGAATGGTGTCTCATTAAAGCTCAGAACGGTGTCTCCCAACACAACCCTGTTTTCTCTCTCGCAGAAGAGGAAGCGCCGCGAGAAGGACGATGACGTGGTGAGCCTGAACAGCCTGGACTTCAAGGTAACCCAGCTGCTGTCAAATGTTTCCAATGTCAACCCAACAACTTTGTCACCTCCTCTGCTGGGCGAGGAACATCCTCCTGCCCGTGTTTGCTTTGCCCCAGCCCCGCTTTAGGGCCCGGCCCAGCTGTGTTTGCCCCGGGGAACCAGCTCAGGGTGGGCCCAGTCCTGCTGGGGCATCTCCCCAGCGCCGCTTTAACCATTTAAACTGCTTCTTTTTTCACCTCGAAACTCCTTAATTTAACCTGAAATAAATGTTTGGGACCCCCTGCTCGGCAAGAACAGGAACTTCTTGGAGCACCAGGGAGCAAAACTCTGCAATATCACTTTTGTTTGAAAACAAGCTGGACTGGCTGGGTGGTAAACTGGGCTTAAAGCCGGGATTAAAGGGACTGGCAGACCTACTAAAAATGGAAAACCAGTGTTTTCTCTAGGAAAACTGGATGATTGGAATTGGTTTCCAGTGGAAAACCAGTATTTTCTCTAGGAAAACTGAATTATTGGAATTGGTTTCCAATTGAACACCAGTATTTTCTCTAGGAAAACTGCATTATTGGAATTGTTTTCCAATGGAAAACCAGTATTTAGGAAAACTGGATGATTGGAATTGTTTTCCAATTGAACACCAGTATTTTCTCTAGCAGAGACAAAAAATGGATCATTGGAATTGTTTTCCATGGAAAAACAGTATTTAGAAAAATTGGATGACTGGAATCATTTTCCAATGGAATACCTGTATTTTCTCTAGGAAAACTGAATTTTTGGAATTGGTTTCCAATGGAAAACCAGTATTTAGGAAAATTGGATGATTGGAATTGTTTTTCAATGGAAAACCAGTATTTTCTTCATGAAAACTGAATGATTGGAATTGTTTTCCAATTGAACACCAGTATATTCTCTGGGAAAACTGAATTATTGGAATTGTTTTCCCATGGAAAACCAGTATTTCTTTAGGAAAACTGAATGATTGGAATTGTTTTCCAATGGAAAACCAGTATTTTCTTTAGGAAAACTGGATGATTGAAATTGTTTCCCAATGGAAAACCAGTATTTTCTTTAGGAAAACTGAATTATTGGAATTGTTTTTCTATTGAACATCAGTATTTTCTTTAGGAAAACTGAACTATTGGAATTGGTTTCCAATGGAAAACCAGTATTTTCTCTAGGAAAACTGAATGATTGGAATTGTTTTCCAATGGAAAACCAGTATTTTCTCGAGGAAAACTGGATGACTGGAATTGTTTTCCAATGGCAAACCAGTATTTCCTTTATGAAAACTGAATTATTGGAATTGTTTTCCAATTGAACACCAGTATTTTCTTTATGAAAACTGGATGATTGGAATTGTTTTCCAATTGAACACCAGTATTTAGGAAAACTGAATTATTGGAATTGGTTTCCAATTGAGCACCAGTATTTTCTCTAGGAAAACTGAATGACTGGAATTGTTTCCCAATGGAAAACCAGTATTTTCTTTATGAAAACTGGATGATTGGAATTGTTTTCCAATGGAAAACCAGTATTTTCTCTAGCAGAGACAAAAAATGGATCATTGGAATTGTTTTCCATGGAAAAACAGTATTTAGAAAAATTGGATGACTGGAATCATTTTCCAATGGAATACCTGTATTTTCTCTAGGAAAACTGAATTTTTGGAATTGGTTTCCAATGGAACACCAGTATTTAGAAAAACTGGATGACTGGAATCGTTTTCCAATGGAAAACCAGTATTTTCTCTAGGAAAACTGAATTATTGGAATTGTTTTCCAATTGAACACCAGTATTTTCTCTAGGAAAACTGAATTATTGGAATTGGTTTCCAATGGAAAACCAGTATTTTCTCTAGGAAAACTGAATGATTGGAATTGTTTTCCAATGGAAAACCAGTATTTTCTTTAGGAAAACTGAATTATTGGAATTGTTTTTCTATTGATCACCAGCATTTTCTTTAGGAAAACTGAATGACTGGAATTGGTTTCCAACGGAAAACCAGTATTTTCTCTAGGAAAACTGAATTATTGGAATTGGTTTCCAATTGAGCACCAGTATTTTCTCTAGGAAAACTGAATGACTGGAATTGTTTCCCAATGGAAAACCAGTATTTTCTCTAGGAAAACTGGATGATTGGAATTGTTTCCCAATGGAAAACCAGTATTTTCTCTAGGAAAACTGGATGATTGGAATTGTTTTCCAATTGAACACCAGTATTTTCTCTAGCAGAGACAAAAAATGGATCATTGGAATTGTTTTCCATGGAAAAACAGTATTTAGAAAAATTGGATGACTGGAATCATTTTCCAGTGGAATACCTGTATTTTCTCTAGGAAAACTGAATTTTTGGAATTGTTTTTCAATGGAAAACCAGTATTTTCTTCATGAAAACTGAGTGATTGGAATTGTTTTCCAATTGAACACCAGTATATTCTCTGGGAAAACTGGATGATTGGAATTGTTTTCCCATGGAAAACCAGTATTTCTTTAGGAAAACTGAATTATTGGAATTGTTTTTCTATTGAACATCAGTATTTTCTTTAGGAAAACTGAACTATTGGAATTGGTTTCCAATGGAAAACCAGTATTTTCTTTAGGAAAACTGAATTATTGGAATTGTTTTCCCATGGAAAACCAGTATTTCCTTTATGAAAACTGGATGATTGGAATTGTTTTCCAATTGAACACCAGTATTTAGGAAAACTGGATGACTGGAATTGTTTTCCTGCTTCCCAATGTCCCTGTGCCCCTCTGGAGAAGGGAAGGGAGGCAAAGAGGGTTTAACTAAGCGGGGTTTAAGGTTAATTAGGCTGAGATTAAAAGCCATTTGCTGGGGGGGCGTTTCCTGTGTGAGAGCTTCATTTGCATATCTGAATTATTCATGAGCCGCCCCTTCATTGGCCCACGACAGCTCCCAGCAGATTCTGGGCTTTGATCTCCTGGTCCAGATAAAACCACCCCCAAAACCCCCCAAAAATAATGGCAAATAACATCAATAAATGAATGAAATAAATGAATGAAATACATTAATAAAATACATTAATAAAATAAATTAATAAAATAAATTAATAAAATGCATTAATGAAATAAATGAATAAAATAAATGAATAAAATAAATGAATAAAAATACATTAATAAAATATATTAATAAAATAAATTAATAAAATACATTAATAAAATAAATTAATAAAATATATTAATAAAATAAATTAATAAAATAAATTAATAAAATACCTTAATAAAATTAATTAATAAAATATATTAAAACAAAAATAAATTAATAAAATACATTAAAGCAAAAATAAATTTTAACTCTTTGTTTTATTGATTATTATCATTTTTACCAATTTTAATTCTTTGTTTTAATAACTATTATCATTTAACCAATTTTAATTCTTTTTTGCTTTATTAATTATTACCATTTTACCAATTTTAATTCTTTGTTTTATTTATTATTATCATTTTACCAATTTTCATTCTTTATTTGTTTCATTAATTATTATCATTTTGCCAATTTGAATTCTTTATTTATTTCATTAATTATCATCATTTTACCAATTTTCATTCTTTTTTGCTTTATTAATTATCACCATTTTACCAATTTGAATTCTTCATTTTATTGATTATTATCTTTTTTACCAATTTGAATTCTTTTATTTCCTATTTATTATAATTTTCTCACTGCTACCCCTGCAGCTCCCAAATCCCTTGGGAGCCAATGGGTGCTTTTCCATGGATCATCCCAAATCCCTTGGGAACCAATGGGTGCCTTTCCATGGATCATCCCAAATCCCTTGGGATCCTGCCTTTCCATGGGCAGGATCATCCCAAATCCTTTGGGAACCAATGGATGCCTTTCCATGGATCATCCCAAATCCCTTGGGATCCTGCCTTTCCATGGATCATCCCAAATCTCTTGGGATCCTGCCTTTCCATGGATCATCCCAATCCCTTGGGAGCCAATGGGTGCCTTTCCATGGATCATCCCAAATCCCTTGGGAGCCAATGGGTGCCTTTCCATGGATCATCCCAAATCCCTTGGGATCCTGCCTTTCCATGGATCATCCCAAATCCCTTGGGAGCCAATGGGTGCCTTTCCATGGACCATCCCAAATCCCTTGGGATCCTGCCTTTCCATGGATCATCCCAAATCCTTTGGGAGCCAATGGGTGCCTTTCCATGGATCATCCCAAATCCCTTGGGATCCTGCCTTTCCATGGGCAGGCTCATCCCTAAATAATCCCAGGAAAGAGCTCCTTCCATCCCAATAACAACCACCCCATTCCTTCCCATCCCCTTCCCTCTTCCCGAGGCCTTGGATGGGAATTTTCCTGGCCTGGCTGCTTCCTGCAGGAGCATAAATTCCAAATTAATGTTGGAAAACACCCTTTGATCCCCACAAAACCCAACCTCTGGCACCTGGAGCTTCCCGCTCCGTTAATCCCTGTGTCCAACAGCATCCCTGGATTTGCCAGGCTGTGTTTTCCGGCCTTTCCCTCGTCTTCCTGAGGTGGAAGTGGCTTCTCCACGAGGATTGTGGAGGTGCCAGAGGTTGGATCTCCCTCCAAATCCATCCGAGCGCCGGTTTTTTGGGAGCTGATTATAAGTCACCATCCCAAAAAAACCGCTGCATTCCAGGGAAATGCTGCATTCCAGGGAAATGCTGCATTCCAGGCCGGCTCCCAAAGCTTTCCGATGACCCAACGAGTCTCCCGGTGGGTCGTTTTTCCAGAATCCCTGCTCCGGATTTGGCTCTGGGTTATAAATATCCGGGAGCTGGAATGTCAAACCCAACCCCTGTCCCGCTCCGAGGGGACACGGACTGGGGAGAAGGGGAGAGGGGAAAAGGAGCACAGTCCTGATTTATTCCTTATTTATCCCAGTCCTGATTTATTCCTTATTTATCCCAGTCCTGATTTATTCCTTATTTATCCCAGACTTGATTTATTCCTTATTTATCACAGACGTGATTTATTCCTTATTTATCCCAGACCTGGTTTATTCCTTATT